TATACTAATTGGTATAACATAAACAAAAAGTAGTTTAATTAAAATTTGAATGTAAGCCACTAAAACATTGTGAAATGTGCAGTGAAGGATGCCAGTGCAGAAAGAGTTAAGCTATTTAGATTAAACATTTGTGGTTTCATATTATAATTTGTAGTCATTCTAGAATGAAAAAAGAATAATTTATATCTATTTCTCATTTTTTATGGTGGTTACGAGATCAATAAAATCAATCAAACCCATACAGAGATATAATGGAGAAAATAACAGCCAAGATATAAAGTTTTGTATTTTGTGTATGAAAGCTTGGTAATGTTTACTGATAATCTGCAAAATGTTGTGAAGATATGCATACTGTATTAAAAGTTACAGTATGAAAACTATAACAAGCACAAGATGGTTATGAGGTCAGTCTCTGGGACCATGCCCATACTGAGAGACTTTATAACTGTTAAATTAAAAGTAATATGACCATCTAAACATTACTGATAATGTTTTGAACTTGATAAAAAAACAACTTAGGCAGCAATAAGATATAAGGAAAATTGGATCACTTCTAACTCTACAAATATAGAATTTGCAAACTGGAGAAAGAAAGCCGAATTATTTAAATGCTTTATACACTATTATATAAGCCCTATTACTACTAGTAATGCATTGGTGACCTTATTATAAAAAGAAAAACTGCATCTTTTTTGTATTTTTCACAATACTAATAATGCTCTAGCATAAGTTCAATGGTTAACTGAAGATGATAGGTTTGCTTATCAAAAATGCAGGTATTTCATTGGATGTTTTTGAATTTTAGTTACTAAACCTTTTTGGATTCTACACGTTTTTTACCATCATGAAGAACCTGGTATTTTTATTATAACAAAAATTTAATCTTAAGTAAAACAATAGTAAACTTTCCTGTAAATCTGTCTTATTCTAAAGGAAAGACTATTCATAATGAAGGAAGAACAATATTTAATCTTACCAGTAGGATGACTGGTTTCAACTTCATTCTCTATATTCTCCACATTTTCAGCCATAGCTGAATTATTCATCTTTGAACTAGAACTTTTAACTGGAAAAAATACGAAAATTAATGAAACCAACAAAACCAGTCTAATTCAAACAAGGTACTATTAGAACAATATTAAACTAGCCTCACTCTAAGAAAAAGGATTTTTGAGGCAATGCTAAAGATTTGTTGAACATTTTATAAGAAATCTCAACTGCACTAAAGTTGCAAAAATAAAAAGAGGAAGATATGTATTTTATTTTCTATATAAAACTTCTAGCAAACTGCAAATATTCCCATAACAACCAAACATCACATGAACTTACAAACTTAGTCTAATGAACAGTAGTCAGTGTGAACTGTATGTAAGGGTAAACAGTTCTGTTTATATGAAACTTCTACAAACTCAATCCTGTGTCTTCTGTTTTAGTATAGAATAATTTAAGCATCTAATGAGTTCTAGAATATAAGTTACAAAATTCAGGTTATTCCCATTGAAGCTCAATCAATAACACAAATTACAGAAGACTAAACTAATCCACAATATCTGAAATTAACCCTCATTCATCTCACTTCTAAAACTCAGGATGATGTCTCAATATGTGTTTAATAAGTATATATATATAAAAGTTGAGAAAGGGCTACAATACTCATGCTTACTTTGTATACTTTGTTTCTTTGTAGTTAAGCACAAAGCAACACAATGGGCTATCTGTGATCTGCCCATCTGGGTTCTAGCATTGTAAGTCCAAAAAGTATACAATCAAACAAAATGTAAATTACAGAGGTCAAAATCATAAGGTTAGTAAATAAAATTAGTGAGTGGCTTTGTGATTTAGAAATTACATAAACAGACTTTTAATTTGTTGTAAGTCATTTATGTATGTAAAAATTAGTGAAATTGATAAGATGAAGCATAAACAAGATACATTTCAATGTCTTTCAACATTATGTTATCTTTGGTTAGAACTATCATCTAATTTATAATTCCACAATACATTCCAATATCATATATTTTGCATTTCTATCTTAAGACAAAATAAATGGACTAATAATTAAATTTTAATATTCAAGAACAACAACAAAATTGACATTTTTTGGCCATTAATCTATTAAGAAGCATTTGGGGTAATTAAAATATTATATTTAAAAATATATCTCCTGAGCAAAGAATCAAATTAGAAATTCCAAAAAAGAGGAGAAAAAAAGGGAGAAGCATGAAAATATTTTTGCTTTTAATTTCCATTTATTTCAACTGATAATTCTTTCTACTGCTACTCTTTCTCATTACAAGCTATATTTTTCATTACTGTTATTTACGATCAACATATTTTTGTACTTTACTTTTTTACAATTAAAATAAACTTGCAATAATTAGCTAATCCAATTCACATTTGGAATAAATTTTGTTTTCCAATAGCTTCAAAAGAAGTCTAATTATGCCACTTTTCCATAATAAATATACCTCAGATTTATTATCTACTTTCAAAATAACAGATAATTTAGACATTGTTTTTACATTCATAATTATTAAATGAGGAACTTACCTTTTAAAATATTAGAAGTTTCACTGTCATCAGAGCTGTAACTCTCTCCTGACTTTTTGTTTTCTTCAGTCTTTTCTGGTTTGCTTTTACTATGTTCAACTGAGATAAAGAAAGCTTTTAAATATTAAACAAACTGCAGTTTTTTTTGGAAATGTTTGTGATCTAATAGCTCAAAAGGGGAATGATACAGTAAAGGTGAAACTGTGATGCAAATGTCCCTTATAATTTTATGTTTTTAGCCAAAATATTACTATTTGGAATGAGAAACAAAAACATTATTTCAAAATAGAGACAATTTCTTAACTAGATACATTTTCTTATACAATGCAAAATGGATGAAATGGAAAAAGCATTTATATTTCTGATGTAATGAAGAGCTAAATGCAATATCAAGTCAAAAACCCATTATATTTTAGAAAAGAAAAATAACCTAACCACTCTGTGCTGCTTCTTTTTTCTGTTTCTTCTGTAGACTCTCAGTTATCATTTCTATTTCTAGGTCTTCTTCTGCATCTTCATCTAGTTCAGCAAATGTGTCTTTCTGAAACCAGAGTTCTGCTTTTCTTTCTGCTTGGAATTTCTTTTTTTCACCAGTCAAGTCTACCAAGAGGGGGTTATCATCTTCATTTTCCCATTTCAAGCTACCTTCTAGATCACTTTCATCTCCAGAACTAAAGATAAGTAAATAGAAAAAAATACATACATATATATATAATGTATAATATTTAATAATGAAGGTAAACTGAAAAATACTTCCAAAATAAGTAAGTGTTGTTTCCTTCCTAAATTTTTACTTCTTAAGCAATTTTGACTATAAAATAACATTTATGAAAACATTTTCTTTCATAAGTACAAGGTATCTATTATTTTTATAAACCACTTGTAGAAGTTAACATTTTCCTAACCTAAAACTGTATTTCCTATAGACACTCCCCTTTATACACAGAAATTATATTTTCCTTGTGCATCTGCCTATGAGACTTGCATGCCATTAGCCTTGAGGTAACTCCCACCTAAATCCACATGTTTAATGTGAACCGTGCTGGTGCATGATGATATCATGCGACAAAAGCTTTCCACCTATATAAGGGTGACACAACCTCCATGCACAGTAACTCCCCCTATGTACTAACACCTGTAATAACTTCATTCTTTGATGAGGCAAAAAATAAAAGTGCACTGCAAGTGGGGAGGATAGGTGGAAATATGTGTGGGGGTGAGTATCTATCAGAAATACATTTTCAGATTAGGAAAACATTGACTTCTGAGATGATAACTCACCTCTACACACAGAAATGCTAGAATCCCATGTTGAAGTGGTGGAAGGGTCAGTGAAAAAATTTTAAAACCTGGATGGGCTCCTTTCAGCACCCAAATGGAAGGCCATGGAGTGTGACACCTGATGGCAGAGCTCCATAAAGGCATTCCTGTGGGAAACCACATCTCTTCTCAACCAGGATATATTCTTCTTCCAGAATGTAAGGGGGAGAGAGACAAATGAGCCCCAGTTGTTGCAATGACAGGTGGAATGAGAACATGAATGTCCAAACTGTTGGACACAAGTGGTTAGTGAGCCAATATGTGTGGTGTGGTTGGAGTAAGATCCAAGCGTACCATGTGTGCACACCTCAACTCTACTGAACAGGCTCTGACTGCAAGAGGAGGGCACATTACTTTTTTGGTATGATTTTTGAGTGGTATCCCATATTAAACTGACAGTGTCACTGCCACTCCACTTCTCACTGTATGGTGCTAAGCCCAACCGATGAGGATTCTCCATGTTTCACCATCTCAGCAGCTTGAAGCTGGTAAGTGGGAAAGGTCTTCTATGTTCTACTTTAAGAAAAGGAGGAGGGTATAACTTGAATTGCATAGAACATGAGAAGTGTCCGGATCCCCAATGAACAACTGGCAGGAAAGATTCTTGTACTGGAAACAATGCGATAAGTGACTGGGAAACCCTACTGTTTAAAATTCAGCAAGTATGAGCCAAAGAAGTGGGTAGAACACTTCTCTGGTTCTGGCTTTGCCCATGATAGTCCATGGAATTGGTATGGTCTGGATTGGACAATTGAGTAAGTAAGTAAGTAAGTATGTAAATGTATACCATGAGGATACCTCAAGTGGTTTTGCAGAAATCCCCATCTGACAATAAGCACTGGTAGAACCAGAGTGGATGGTTTGAGACCTGGCCTCACATGGATACTTGGGAAACAAGCATACCCTGGGAGGCAATGCCAGCCACATGGTGGGAACCTATAAAATGTGAAGAGGGGCCAAGAAAGAAAACATACTGAACCTTCACAAAGATGGTGGGTCAACTGAAGAATGGCAATTGATGGAAGTCAAAATCAAGCGGGAGATGAAATAGCCAGGTGTTGTAGATAACGAGAGACAAATGTGTGGGGAGTCATCCACATGCCTGCTTGGAGGATCTCATTCAAAAGCTAGTGAAAATTAATGGGAAGGAAGAGAATGAGTCAGGTGTGGAATCAAATGCAAAGAAGTGTGAAATAGTATGTTAGCATCTACATCCAGAGACAAATGTACCAAGCAGAGAAAACTACTGCTGAGCTGGCCAGAAAGGTGCCAACAATAGGACCTGACAAGGAATCTTGTTTATCACAGCAAAGACCTAAGGGATGAGATGAAGAGAATAAGCATATAGAAAAAGGTGAAACCAGGCCTGGCTGAGAGCATCAACAGCCAGGGATGAAGTATGAGGAACAGGAGTCCAGAATAGAGGAAGCCTGCAGTTGAGAAGGGTGGCAAAAGCATCTATGAGAGGTGTGCCCAGTCATGAGCAAAATTTAGTAGTGTAATGAACATCTTAATCAGTGTTTTGAAATAATGGTAGTCTGATTTATAATAATATTAACATGTTTCTAGGGTAAAAGGCTAGAACTAACACACAAAAGTTAGTTTTTGGAACTGAGTACTTGTTAAAATCTTCAAGTAAGAAATATTTTTAAGCTTTTGTCTTTGGTAAGCTAACTAATAAAGGAACCATCAATAATGTTTTTACATAAAAGATATTTACCCTAAAACTGTAACTTTAAATTGAATATGAATTTTTATATGTTTCTTGCATGTGTGAAATATTTAATTAATTTCAGAAATTTTTTATGGGTTTTTTGAAAAGATATTTTAAAATACTTTATATTAAACAGTAAGTCCCCCTTTGCACTTTTACTCATGATATCTTCATTCTTCTCCCTGGCATTGCAGTGAATAGATATGTTCAAAATTTTTTGTCAGATGATATATACATTTGTTAAAGAAATTTTGATTTTTGTTTTCTTTAGCTTTAGTTTCAATAGCTTTCATTTTCGTTATCAATAAATCTCATATGCCAGTGACTCGTACTTAGTCTTGTGCGAGTAACAATATTCCACACACAGGCCTTATATCTTATGGCTTCTGGAAGTTCATTAACTGTAAGGGACATCATTCAATGTGTTGTGGATTACCACATGCTTAGTGGTACTCCTACTCTCATTCCATCAGCCAAAGGTGTTTTTCCTCAGTCAGGAATAATCTATTGGACTACAAATTTAACCTGATTTGCTTTGAGTTGTGTCTTAGCATTGGAGGAATGACCATAACCTTCTGATCTCTTTCTGGATTTCCTTCTCGGGTATGTTCCTTTCCTTATCTTTCATTGGTATCCTTTAGTATTTCCTGTTCTTTACTCCTTGATCCCAAGCCTTTGGGTTTAGGGTTTATGCTGTTTCTTTCCCTAATAGCTTCTCTCTCACACCCAAATGCCTTTTCCCTCCTCACATTCTCTCCTTTTCTCCTGACTTGTAGACATTCTTCCCTTCCTTTCTCAATTACATGTCTTTGTTATTTATTTGACCTGCTTGGGGATTGAGCCTCTTGCCATCTATTTTGCTCTCTGGTCCCTCATTTTTAATTTTCGTTTTTTTCTCATCACCCTCCTTTATTCCCTCTCTTACTTCCACCTTTTGTCTGAGGCACTACATCATGTTCCAGAAGGGTTTTCTGTAGAAGTTTGTTCCCTTCTTTTTGCCAGCTTGACCTGTTCCACTTTTTCTGCTTTGTACCACCTTACTTTGTTCCCCTGTTGTTTGGACTTGTTGGGTAAGGTTATGTTCCTCTTTACTGGACACGTTCCTCCTTTTTGTGTACATGGTCTTTTTCAGTCTCCCTTTCTTCACCCAAACATCTTCTGTTATGTTCATTTCTCACTGAGACCTGGACTGATGTTGTATGACTTTGTATGATGTTGTATCTTCTCAGATTTTTTCTTCTTTCTCAACCTTGCCTTTTACTCCTGTTTCTCATTTGAATCAGTCTATCCCTAACCTTCCCATTCCAGGTTCCATGCCTTTCTCTTTTTTTGTTCTCTTTCTACCAGACATTTAGTTCTTTTTTTTATTGTCAGTGACTGCCATGTCATGTTCAACTCTGTACAGGATACCCATCTCTTCCTATTCTCCTCCTTTTCATTTCTCCATCATGGATCTCCTCACTTTTATTCACTCCTCTTCCCATTTCCTTTTCTTCTCCTTCTGACCCAGTCTATGGTCATTTTCACCTGATCTGCGGTTGGTCATGATCAATATGTCATACACCTTCTTACATATCCATCTTGACCTCTCCTCCATATTTCTTCTACATTCCATCCATCAGCTTCAGGTCTTTCAATTCCTTGATCTTTTCTTCAACATAGTGTCAGCCCCTTTTGTATTCAGTTGTATCATGAAGGCCTTCACTCACCATATTCACAGCCTAGTGCTGGTATTCCATTTCTTGGACAACTGACTTTTATTAGTCCATTCTTGGATAGTATTCTCTTCTCACACTTCCCTTTATATACAGGAATCTCCCCTGTTGAGGTGGCTTGTCATGAGATCTCAATCCTTTCTCACGTTCAATTAATATTTGGTACTTCTGGGCATTTCCTTCATCTCTTGTTTCAGCCTTTTCCTCTTCACCTTCAAGCTATGGTGTGTCTGGTCACCAGGATTTACTTTTCTCATCCTGTGAGAGGTTCTTTTTCTTTTGGGGAGTCTGGCTTCCCTGGAACCCTTCATTCCTTTAGGGTGTGCACACATGCCTACTCCTGTGGATCTTGCATATCCAAGGGATTCTTTCTCATGTTCTATTGTCCTTGTTTGTGAACCTCTCCTCCCCACTTCTCTCCTCAAGAAATTGTTATGGTGACTAGATAGTATCCATACTACTTTTGCCATTCCCTTTCCAACTTCCAAATCAGATCTGTCTCTTCACTGATGTTTCTCTTTCTGATTGAGGTGCACCTCTGGATGAGGACATGACTTCTGGCACTTGGATGCAGGACAAGTGTTCACTCCACATCAACATGCTCAAACTTTCTTTCCTCTGTTAATAGTGTATGTTTCCATTCCTGCCTCTACTGGTGGATCACTTGGTCAAGATACACTCTGACAATTCCATGATCATTTCTTACATTGGTGTTCAAGAGGAACCTGTTCCAGGACCCTTTGCTTTCAGGTGTTGGACCTACTCTTCTGGGCACATTCACATCAGGTTTGTCTTGTTGCCTATCATTTGTCGGGAGCTAAGAACTTGGTGGCAGACCACCTCTCTTGGCCAGTCCACGTTCTAAACAAAGTGGTCTCTACACTAACGGGTATTTCATTGGGGCTATGAATGAAGACTTTTTATTGACTCATCTAAAGTTAGTCTGAAAGCTGTACTTTTGCACAATGGGAACACTAAGCTATCGATTTCTGTTGCTCATGCTGTTAACATGAAAGAAACTTATCAAAGCATGCAGATTGTATTTGAAGTAATCAAATATGATAGTCATAGGTGGAACATATGAAATGGTCTAAAAATTACTGCACTCCTGCTAGGCCTGCAGAGTGGGTATACCAAACATTGTTGCTTTTTGTGTCTCTGCCAGATGATAAAAATCATTTCAAAAAGAAGGAATAGCCAGTGAGAGAGATTTACATACCAGTGAAACAGAGTATTAACCTTGGTGAGTCCTAAAAAATGTGTTTCTGCCCCCACTTCATATTAAACTGGGTCATGAATACTTTTGTAAACTTTTTGAATTTCGCGCAAAGCTACACGAGGGCTATCTGCGCTAGCCGTCCCTTATTTAAGCAGTGTAAGACTAGAGGGAAGGCAGCTAGTCATCACCACCCACCGCCAACTCTTGGGCTACTCTTTTTCCAATGAATAGTGGGATTGACCATCACATTATAACACCCCCACAGCTAAAAGGGCGAGCATGTTTGGTGTGACGGGGATTCAAACCCGT